AATTTGTTAAAAGACTCTAATCTGTCTTGCTCAGACAGACTGTACAAGTAGAGCAACCCAGTTCAGATTGAGTAGAGTCTGGGTCATAATTGCCTCCAGCTACTCTGTGGCATGGTTACAGAAACTATCTCCAGGATCTCTGTTCTGTTTTCTAGCTCAGACAGGCTAGACTAAAAGAGCTTTCCAGTTGAGAATAAGTGGAGCCTGGAATATAACTGCCTTCAGCCACTTTGTGGCATGGTTACATATATTTCAGCATAAAAAAATGAAGAAACTGTATCTGCCAAGCATATATGCTATGGCCCACATAACTCTAGTTGGACCAGCTGATCTCTGCAAGCATTGTCTGGGGGTAGTGGACTGGCCAGACTGTTGTGTTGCAGGTATGTTTTCTCATTATGGTAGCCATGATCTCAGTCCATGGGATAGTGTTCAGATCGGGGGATAGAAAGGATAATGGCGCATCTGGCAATATGAAAAATATATGAAGGTGTTCTGGTTGGACCAGGAACAATTTAATTATGTCACAGAGCTTTATCAGTGATTGCTGCATTGTGCGATGACATCCAAACTACTTCTGCGAGAGAGGCTGATAGAATGGTGGTTTGGTGGGAATAGAATTCCGTCATCTCGGCTCATGTTGAGAAGGTCAATTTCCATGCCTATGTGGAGATCGTGTAGGGACTGCATTGCAGAGGAAAGGACAGTGGTGGCCTAGAGCAGGTGACGCTCCATGATCAATGGAAGTTGGAGGGTGTAGAGGCGCTATTGTGCAGAGGTGGAGTCACTTGACAGTGTGAATCCATCGATTGGGCATATGGTTAGAGATCAGAGGTTCTGACAGGCCACTAGGACCTCAAACAGTGAAGAGTAGTTGTGGAACGATCAGATGTGGTATAAAACTAGCATTCTTGTACCAGGCGTTAAGACCAGTACTAGGTGTGAGAAGGCAGCCATGTGCGGAATATGATGTGGAGCAAGTGGAAGTTAGGAAGGCATTTTGTCTCTTGTATTGTGGCCAGAGTCAACATTATGTGCATGCATTTCTCTTCTTTGTAGCCGAGTTCTGATCTTTTGTCAATTTTGAGTGAGTGGGTGAAGATGTGTAACAGGTGGGGTTTTTGGTCGATGCTGCAGTGTATATGCTGGGCAAAGCCTTCGCTGTTTTCAGGGGGTTCATCGCATACTATTGTCTCATGGATGAGTACTTGGCGTGATCTTGCATATATGGCTTGTAGGCAGAGAGTTTGCTGGCAATTCACCAGAATGGTTTCAGGGTCAACCAATATTGCAATAAGGAGTATCTTCTCCCATAGCTTGTTTGGTAGTTCTAGCTCGGTCTTCTTGGCCATTGTGTTGCAAAATGATGGTTCAGAAGTACGTCCGACAGCGTGTTTCAATGCTTATCTTTATTGAAATTGTCATGTTGAATGTCATTGTTATTATGTTGAATTTAGTCCTATGCACATGCGTTCAGTCTGGTTTACACAGCTAGTGTTTATCTTATGCAACTATGGGGGGTCACTCTGGGGGGTCACTCTTAGGTAGTTTTTGTGTGTGACTCTGAGGCAAGGTAGTTTATGGACATTGTAGTCCTCAGACATCATTTATTCAGCAGTGACAGCCTTGTGGGCTACATATCAAGGTCTCCATTAGTGGCATGTAAACCACTCTCATACAAATAACTTGTGCTTGCCCTAGGTGTTTCCACCTGAGGCGATGCCACCTCTATGGCCATTGGATATTCTGATCTCAGGGGACTCTGTGGAATGGCAATGTTTGCTGCTTGTGAGATGGTGCAGGTGCAACCATCATTGATATCAGGTTTGTGTGGCTCCAGAATGGAGGTACAGCACATCTCTTGAGTGTGGATGGCCCTGCAGACAATTGTTCAGAGAAAAATGTCCGTTATCAGATTGTTTGTGTTCTAGAGTCTCTTAAGCCAGGCTTTTAAGACCTGCAAACTTTGATTTATGTTTTATATATTATTATACTAGATATAAAGTTAGCATTTGTTGTTGTCAGATATTGATACTTTACTGACACTAACTATGCCATTATAAGCAAAACATTTATACTGAAGTTATGCAAATGGCAGAAAATAGTTTTGTAATATGGCCAGAAACAAAGAAATTGTACCCACCAAGCATTTGCACTGTGGCCCGCATAGCCCTAGTCTGCAGGAACCAACTTGACCACATTTGACTGCTCACTGTCACTGAAAGGGATAGCTTGCAAGGATAGTATGCTGCAGGAGCTGAAAAGGGATATTGGTCACAGTTGAGTGAAAGTAGGCACCTGAAAGTAAGAGTAAGCATGGTATGTCTTCTAAAATTAAAGACATGCACAAACAGCACCCTCATTGTTCTACAGAGAAATGATGGACCAATTCAAACTGTGAGATAATGGTGAGTAGAGCCTCTAGACTGTTGTTCGCCAGTGAGCATCACAAATAGAGTTTGCGGTGAGTCTAAGTATATTTCCACTGGGGCAGGAGAGTTTAAAGATGTGCCAGAAATGTGGCCACTGCTGTCAACAGGATGTGAAGATTCTACATATAGTTTCAGAAGTAGCATGACAGTGAGTGTAACATAGATAGAGCTTACTGCGAAAGAGGCAATAAAATGAGTATGTCATGATATCAGTAGCACACATAGCTTAGCACAATGTTTGCATGCAGTGCAAGAGACTGACCTCTTTAAATACATTGAGCAGAAATGGGGCAGCAGCAGAACATACATATAGAACTTTAGCTTCTGGCAATAGGACACCATTGAAGCCTCTTTTGTAACACACAAGCAGTACAGACACAGTGGCAAGTGCAATGTATACATCATATAAAACTACAATCACACAGAGAGCGACAACAATATTCAGTACATAAAATGGTAGAGAGAACTGCTTATTAGTTCCGAGATTTCTTGTTTCCTATGACCTTGGCAGAAGGAGCTGTGGTCTCCTCCTTCTCAGGCTGCTTGTGATCATTAAGAGCACGCACAGCAGCTGAAACAGCACTGACACCTCTAACAACTTCTCCTGGCTCAAGAATGCCCACCGTGGGCACAGGCAACTCTTTGCTAGGAACTGAGCTGCTACCCAAAGGAGTAGAAGATGTGGCAAAGTCTGTGATGGCAGCCAACAGTGCAGCTTTGATAAGTGCATTGCCAGTAGCACTTTTGGCAGACCTAGAATGGAGCTCAGTAAGTGATCTTCAGGTGGAGCTGTGGAGGACATGTCAGACTCACAAAGAAAGCCTGTAAGCATTGTACTTGCACTTTTTAGAAGGAGGCATGGCAGAAGGAAATCCAGTGCCAGCTCTGTTGGCAGCTGGAGGAGTGTGGAGTGCATTAAATGTGAGACTCTCAACCTCAGCAGTGAGCATGCTGTCATGGCATATGTCATGAAAAGTCCTGAGTACCTGCACAGTGGACTGCAAGGTTGGCAATGGGACTCAGCTCTAGCAAGAGGTGGATCCATTAAAGTTGGCCCTGAAAAAATTGTGAGAATTAAACTGCGGACAATAGCACCTGCTTGGCTTACTCAAAAGTAGATGTCTTCTTCTCATCACAGACATGCTCAGTGACCTCCAGCATTGTATGCTTGTTGTTATTGAGGGCCGTAATGTCTCTGATCAAGCGAATGATGCCCAGGCCCATAACATAAGTTGGAATGTTGGGCAGAAATTCGTCATATCCATCCTGCATTGGGTTACTGGAATACAGATAAACATGAATGGCCTCCAAAAGAACAGGCTTGTTGAGGGGAAAATAGCTACATGCAACAGTGAAGACAACTGTATCATCAGAGAGAGGCGTGTCATCTCTGGAACTGTAGACACGAAGCTGAGCTGTGACACTGGCATCAGACAGGCTGTTGGTCTGCATCACAGTGCGATAATGGCAGTAATAGCTTGTGCAACTGTTGCTGGTCTGTCCAGCAACACAGCGACTACCACCAGGACTGGGGTGCCGAAGACAATAGTAGGTGA